GACAACTTAAATCCGTTGAGGAAATTTTATCACACAATATATAGCCTATAGGACATTTCCAATGGCCTTTCAATCCAACAACCATAAAAATAAGTGCTTCTGTTTCTAATTTATCTGGGTCATAGGCTAGAATATTGTTTCCAAAACTAGAAAAACCTTCATATGATCCAGTAACATTATCATACCGCAGAGCAGCCCTGATATGCATAGAATCAAATATTAATGCGCAATCTTTGTATGATGAATCCTCAAATGTCTTATTTTGTAAAAACTTGAAAACATCTCCAAAAAACCCAGGCAAACAATCTACAGATGAGGTCCAGTTTGAAAGTGAGCTTACGGCAGGTAATGAGAATGTAGATTTAACAAATTCATATGCTCTTGGAGAATAAAAGTGCAGTGTTAAAGCAAATTTTTTAACTTCTTCAGAGTATCTATAACCTTTTTTTTTTTTGCCTCTATTTTTTAATTCAGATTTCAAAAGTTCTTTAGTCAGTCCAGAGAAGTTGTTCTCAAGTAATTCAGCAACATCAATGGAAATAATTTTTTTTTTCTCCAAGTTTTGAATAACTTTGCTAAGTGAAGCAATTTTTTTATCTTTTCGTTTAAGGTTTTGTTTTAATATTTTAATCTTTTTTCTAAGTAATAGTTTTTTTGGAGAATTTTGTTTAAGTATTTTTTCCTTAATAGTATTTGTAATTTCAAGCTCTGTTACCTCTTTATTCGAGATAGAACAAATTGTTTTTTTAATGTGTGATGTATCATCATTATATAGCTGATTTCGCTTGTTATTTTTGTTCAATGATTCATGAAAGTCAAATATTGAAGGCACAATATTTTTTTTCAGCACACGTTTCCCATTCTCTTGACACTCAAAATCTTCTAATTTAAAATGTTTACTGCAGATTCTACTATGTTTACTAGGTGTAATTTGTAAACATTTAGTTGCTGTTGCCCATTTTTTACATAACATTTCATCATTTAAAGGGAATCTGTGAAAAGAAATTAAACTACTTTTATCAAATCTGCTTTTACAGTTGTAAACTGAACAATTAATAACCATGTTTATTATTTGTTACTCTAAAAAAATAAAAAGTATTGTTTTCAAAAATATATCTTTTATGTTTTATAAATACATACACACACACTCAAACACATTATCCTAGACTTTATCATATATAATATCATTTAAATATATATATATATATATATATATATATATATATATATATATATATATATATATATATATTTATATATATATATATTTATATATATATATATATATATATATATATATATATATATATATATATATATATATATATATATATATATATATATATATATATGTAGATATAATATGGAGCGAGTCTAAATAAATGTCTCAGTTTAAAAATGTAAATATTTAAAATATATATACTTAAAATTAATTAAGTTAAAATAGTATGTAAACTTATCCTATATATTTCTATATAATAAAATACAATATTTCTAAGGGTTATATATACCCTCGTTATTCAAGTAATATTACTTGAATAACAAGGGTATATATAACCCTTAGAAATATTGTATTTTATTATAAAGAAATATATAGTATAAGTTTACATACTATAACAGATATTTTAACTTAAATAATAATATAAAAACTTATCTAAGATGTTAACTTTTAAAAATTATATACTTAAAATATTTTCCGAAGGTTCAGTCTTTTTACTTTAAACTAAAATTACTAGCTTAGCATTTATTTTTTATAATAGAAAGTTAAAAGTAACTGACGTTACTTTTAACCTACACTTATAAAATTATCCAATACTAAAGCATCTCACAATATCATTCCAACCTGACTAACTTTTAAACACATTTTCTGATTTAACTGACACAATTATTTTTTGTTTGGATTTTATTTTTGCTTTTTGTCTTTCCGTAATATTTGTTAACCAATCAGATGCTGGTTGGCAAAACAAGTTATTAGCCAATCATATGCTGGTTGGCAAAAAAAATGTGCTTCACTTTTTTTCGGAAGTTAGACATCTAGTTAATATATATCATTGGGCTCGAAAGCGCACTGCTATTAAGTTGAGCAATAATATATAATATATAAGTTGCATAACTTTACACAAAAAAAATACACTGCAAAGATTTCTAGTTTTTTATTTTTTTAAATATTTGTATTTAGCAACTTTTTGTTGTATATAAAGTAAAAATAAGTTGTAAAACATCAAAACAGCATCGTGCTAACTAATTTTTAATTTTTTGTAATAATTCGGTCTAATTTCTATAGACCATCATCAGACGTAAAATACAATTTAAAAAACTGTTACAATATAAAAATCATAAAAAAGCCATTACAAAGACAACGTCAACAAAAATTGTTTGGTTTTTTTACAATTTTCTTAAATAGTGGTCTCCAACTATTTAGAGCAACTTTTACCTCGTTATCCCTGTTAAGCAGTACTAGGAATTGTTTAACCTCCTGAGATGTTTGCACATAGTTAATTTTAAGCGATTCCCTTTTTTTTCTTTCATGATAGTTGTTATTCATAGATAAAGTTTTTGGGTGCAGCCAGTCGAATATCCCATGATATTCTTTGCAAGGCTCAGTAGCTCCAGAAACATGCCAATTGCCATTCATGCTATTAATTTGGTGTTCTATGCTTCTTTGCAAAGTTCTCTTTTTTGTTTCCCCAATATAAATTCTCCCATACGAACACATAAGTTTGTACACCCCATTCTATTCTGTATGGTACCTAAGAATATCTCGTTAAAATTATTCAGCCTACCGTAAACAAAAAAAAAACACGCTTGTTGAATTCTACATCATTTGTCAACGAAGCAAAATCCTGGTTTGTTAGTCCAGATGAAATTCAAGTATCGTTTGATGTAATAGCTTTTATACATCAATACCGATTGATAAAGCTATACCCGTGATAATTGATTATCTTAACTAATCTTAAAGCAAGAACGAAATAAACACATACTGACATCAACCAATTAACGGAACTATGTCTTAGTCAATGCTTTTTTTTTTGTATAAAAATGAGATTAGAATGATACCTAACTCAGGTCGAATTGGATTATCACTAATGGTTGTTATTGCCGAGGTATTCTTACAAAAATTAGGAACGAGAGCTCTACATATTGCGAAAATCAACAATTTTTCATCAAAATTTTATAGAAGGTATGTCGACGATAGCCATGCCAGATTTGAATCAGCTGAAAAGCATAACAAATTTAATATTTTATTAAATCAACAAGATTCCAATATTCAGTTCACGTCAGAGGTTGAAAATAATCAGAAAGAACTAAATTTTTTAGATATAAAAATAAATAACAAATTAACAAATAATTTCCATTATGATTTCAAAGTCTACCCTAAAGAAGCAATAACAAACATACAAATAAAACCCGACTTAAATAAAAAAAATATATATCAACCCTGCAATTATTACTGGAGTTTTTAAAGGTTTCATATCACGAGCCACCAAAATCTGCTCCAAAAAATACATTACCAACGAAATTTAGTTTATAACAGATATGTTTCTTGAAAACGGTCACACAAGATCAAATCTAGAAACGATTGCTGCAAATTACCTTTCAAGTAAAAACAATTTCAACAGTAAAGTTGCAAAAAAACTAGAAAATAATGTTGCAATAATAAAGCCTTGGCTAACAACACTTGGACCAAAGCTACGAAAAATTCTTAAAACATATAATGTCAAAGTTATTTTTACAACACCATCTAATTTAAAAACCATTCTCTGTAACAACAAATCTAGTTTAATGCCAAACAGCAACCCTGGGGTGTACAAACTTATGTGTTCGTATCGGGGAATTTATATTGGGGAAACAAAAAAGAGAACTTTGCAAAGAAGCATAGAACACCAAACTAATAGCATAAATGGCAATTGGCATGCTTCTGGAGCTACTGAGCATTGCAAAGAATGCCATGGGATATTCGACTGGCAGCACCCAAAAACTTTATCTATAAATAACAATTATCATGAAAGAAAAAAAGGGAATCGCTTGAAATTAACTATGCGCAAACATCTCAGGAGGTTAAACAATTCCCGGTACTGTTTAACAGGGATATTGGGGTAAAAGCTGCTTTAAACAGTTGGAGACCACTATTTAAAAAAAATCGTAAAAAAACAAAACAATTTTTGTTGACGCTGTCTTTGGAATGACTTCTTTATGATTTTTAAATTTTATTACGTAACGGTTTTTTAAATTGTATTTTATGTCTGATGATGGTCTATACAAATTATACCGAAATATCACAAAAAAGAAAAATTAGTTAGTACGATGCTGTTTTAATCTTTTTCCAACTTAATATCTGTAAAATTTAAAAAATTGAAGTAAAACGTCAATCACAAAAAAATAGAAAAAACTGAATAGTTCATTGAACTTTTCTAAAAAAATTAATTAAGAATAATTGATTAAATTGAAAATATAGCATTTTGGACCCCCATGTTAACTATTATATGTAAATATGATGATGAGCAAAAATAGCGCTTTATTAAATATCATAAAAATACTTAATAGACAAGTATTTCCAAGCTTAAAAGGCTGGTGATAATATTAGTTTGCGAGACATTGGTTTGTTATTAAAATTTGTGTGATTAGCAACAGGTTTTAATACTATATATACATGCATTTTTTTTATTTCTAATAAATTTAAATACTATCAATTACAAAAAATAATTATAAATCCAAGAAAACTAAAATACAAGCACTTACTACTTAAGAACATCAATACTCATAAGAAAAGTGAAATACTAAAGTAGTTATACTTTACTTAGTACTTTGCTTTAGTACTAACATCAAAACAGAATAAAACCGTTTACTGTTTAGAATAAAAAAAAATTGATATCATGTTGTATTATAATTGTTTAAATAAAAGAACATTTCTGCTGATGATATACTATGATATACTATACTATGATATACTTAAAGATGATATACTATGATATACTACGATATACCTTAATAAATTTTACCTGTAAAAACACCTTGTAAGAATCTTGTTACTAAAGCCCAATAAAATGAACGACTCAAACCAAACAAAAATGTAAAAATAATTTGAAAAACTCCTATAATAATTACAATCTTCTTAGGATCAATTTTGTCAACCAAATATCCCCAAATTATTCTAAACAGAAATAAGAAAGTTTAATTTAAATTTAAGTTATTATTAAAGAAAATATATGTATATCTCAGGAATATTGATTTTCTCTCAGGAATATATATATATATATATATATATATATATATATATATATATATATATATATATATATATATATATATATATATATATATATATATATATATATATATATATTTATATATATATATATATATATATATATATATATATATATATATATATATATTCATATATATATATATATATATATATATATATATACATATATATATATATATATATATATATATATATATATATATATATATATATATATATATATATATATATATATATGTATATATATATATATATATATCTCAGGAATATATATATATATATATATATATATATATATATATATATATATATATATATATATATATATATATATATATATATATATATATATGTATATATATATGTATATGTATATGTATATGTATATGTATATGTATATATATATATATATATATATATATATATATATATATATATATATATATATATATATATATATATATTAGGGTGGATCGATTTTCATAGCAAAAAAAAAAGTTTAAAAATCAATATTCCTGAAACACGAATCGATGTCTATTAATTATAAGATAAATGCAAAAAATATTTTTTGATTTTGATGAGATCTTGAGGTTCCTCTTTGGATTCTTAATCCTTGACAGATCCTAATATTTTTGAATTTTTTTTTTTCTAAACTATATTAACCTTGGACTCAAAAAAAGCAGAAAAAAATGCTTGTTTTATCAATAATAATTTTATTAAAAAAAAATTTTTAGTAAAAAAATATTTGTAAAAATATACCATAAAACACACGTTTTAGATGAAGACGGGGTTTTTTAATGAAAAAAATGATATTACTTATTTTTTTTTTAGTTTTGATTAAAACAAATATTATATTTAAAATTAGCGTATTATTCTGCTTCTTTTGAATACCAGGTTGGTATAGTTTAGAAGAAAAAAAATTTTAACAACATTTGGATTGGTCATGAATTTAGAATCCCAAAGAGGAACCTCTAAAACTCATTTAAATTAAAAAAAAAAAAAAAAAGTTCTTTTTTCACCACAAGACATCGATTCGCAGCTCAGGCAAATCAAATTTCAAAAATTTTTAAAATCGATCCACCCTAATATATATATATATATATATATATATATATATATATATATATATATATATATATATATATATATATATATATATATATATATATATATATATATATATATATATATATATATATATATATATATATACATATATATATATATATATATATATATGTATATTATATATATATATATATATATATATATATATATATATATATATATATATATATATATATATATATATATATATATATATATATATATATATATATATATATATATATATATATATATATATATATATATATATATATATATATATATATATAATTGTGTGTGTGTGTGTGTGTGTGTGTGTGTGTGTGTATAAAATTGATTGATAAAATATTATTTGTACCATTTTCAACTAGACTAACATTCATCAATAAATTTTAAATTTCATTGTAAAATATTTTATAGTTCAAAAACTATGATCATTTAAAATTTGCAACTTTTATTTTTAATTTTTGAACACTAAAATATTTTACTATAAAAATTGAAATTTATTGATGAATATAAGTCTAGTTGAAAATGGTACAAAAAATTTTTGATCAACTAGTTGCTCTCACGTTTGGGAGGGGGCTAAAAATTTAAGGTTTCTTGTTCCCTTTCTCCTATAACATTAAATTTTTTTTAAGAATCTTTTCGTCATACATATGAATGTAAAAAAATTAGGAATATTCTTTTTGTTTAAAAGTTGGTTACTTCAAAACCAACTTTTAAACGAAAAAATGGTTATATATATATATATATATATATATATATATATATATATATATATAATATATATATATATATATATATATACATGGGCCAGGGGGGGCTAGGATTTTAGGTTTTCTTGTTCCCTTTCTCCTATCACAGTAACTTTTTTTTTTAAAGAATCTTTTGGTCATACATATGAATGAAAAAAAGTTGGAATATTTTTTTTGTTTAAAAGTTGGTTATTTCAAACATTTACAAACCTTCTTATGTCACTGGGTATGCCGCATATGTATATATATTAGTGTTGTTATCGACTTTGACTGAATTGACTGAAAGTTGACCATTAGAAAGTCGAAATTAGTCGACTATGAAAAATCTAATAGTCAATTTAATAGACTTTAGATTTTCTACTAATGGACAAAAAGTCGATTTAATCAGGTCCTAAAATTCTTATCTTTATCTCTTCGTTTAATTTAACTTTGTCAATATTTAATTTTATTATGATGCTGACCAATTAGTAAAGATATATCCTTATAAGTAGATTATTTTATAAAAATGAAATATTTGTAAAGATTGAGTCATGTGCAAGATCATTGTTCATAGCTGGGCTTTTAATTTAACCAAAATATCTGAACATTGAACCTAATTTGCTGTTTCACATAAACTCAGCTCTAAGCTTGCTGTATGCTGTGCCACTATATTAATGTTTATTTATTCTTGTTTTACTGATTCATTATAAAAAGTCAATTCTTTAAAAAAATATTTAATGTGTTATCAGTTAACGATGCCGAAAAGATACCAAGTTTTATAAATCTGAAATCCACAAAAAAGTTTGGCCCTACCAGCCTCTACCTTGATACAATACAAAAATTACGCCTTACAAATTTTTAGCTTTATTTGTTTTAATAAATGATACAAAGAGAACCTTTTTTTAAAAACTCTCTCTGTTTTAATTCAATTAAATTTCAATAAGCCAATAAATTTAATTAAATTCTTTTTATTGATTGATAAATATAGTAATTACCAATGGGCAATTAAATCAATAACGATTAGAACAAATTTAATAACAATAATGATAGGTACTCATGCAAATCCTTTAGGACATTATTTCTGCATGAAGGAATTTTTATCTGAACACACTTAGAAGCCGTGCCTTTTTTGACTTAATTGTAATAGCTATTTTATTCTTATTCTCATTTTATGGTAAAAATTAAATGTTGAATCTAAAATTATTTTGTGAAAAGCAATGACTCTACAATAACAACGTGTAAATATAAAGATACTGTAACAAACAAAATTTGCAACAAAAAGCTAAAATACAAGCTCAATGGCAAATCATTTGTATAGTAACTATTGGATTAATATTAAAGAGTTTAAACTTCCAAGTACAACAACTGGTCATGTATCTATCAAACCTGCATTTGCTAACTCTCACTGATATTGTTCAAGTTCGCAAAAATATAAATATTTAGAGGAATCTATGTGTACTAGAAACTAGAACCAGTGGCCTTAACCTTGACAAATATAAAAAATATACTTACAATATATTCTATAACAATAGTTTTTTTCAATTTGATGATATTAGGTACTCTAAATTTTTTATTAAACATTCAGAAATTTTTTTCACCCTTTTTTCAAATTTGAAAAAATTGCTTACACTACAGCAGTTACAAAGGTACACCAGATATGTTTGTCTTGGCCCAAATGAAAAGTTCAGGCTAGATTTTTTTTAATGCAGATCTTTCATAACATTGAAGTCTACTTCTGACTGAGCAGATACTTTGTCATTTACTACATTTACATTTTCCTCTAATTCTGTAATTTGTACAAGTGAAAAGCTTAGCTTTTTTATTCAAAACAGATACCAGTTGTTTATTATCAGTTTTGTTTTCTTATCTTTTTTTAATTCAATTTAAAGTGTAACAGAACTGGATGTTAAAACGCAGTATTTTATCTTAGAACGACCTTTTCTAGTTTGTTACTGTGGATAAGCTTTTAAGTAGAGTAGAATAATATCAGAAGACACAATGCTTATCTTATTAACGTTTATCTGGTTTGCAAACAAAAAAAAGGACTGCAGTTTGTCAGTATTAGTCGAGGGATTGGGCATGCTCAAAAAGTCTTTAATATGTTTACTTTTGTATCAAAACTGGTCTTGAAACAAATACTGCGCTTGATCCGTTTCGGTGGATGGCAGGAACTCATTTTTTTTTAAAATGTTTTTATTTTAGTGGATAAGACCAGATGATTAGGTTGACCAATCGTCATCCTGATGGAGGACATGTTTGCTTGTTGTTCCCGTCCTTATTTTTATGGCAATATTTTTCGAATGACCTTCTTTTACAGTTTACTTTTATTTACTTTTTCGTGTATTTGTTTTTGTATTTGTTTGTTTTTAAATATTACATGTTTTAAAGTTTCGCGCACGATTGTTGGCTTATAATTGAATCTAATTGTGTTGGTGGTGTATGCGAAGATAAAGTTAAAGCAGTGGGCGAAAAAATAAATAAAGTTTGTGAAAATTTAACTAATGTCAAAAAAATGCAGGAAAAAATATCCTCGGACAATACTGAACTAAAACTAAAGAGCGTATGGACAATACTGAACTAAAACTAAAGAGCGTAAGGACAATACTGAACTAAAACTAAAGAAGATATTGAAGATTGAAACAGGCGAAATAATCTAAGAATCAATGGGGTTATTGAAACGAGCGAAGAAAAGGATTCGGATATAACTAAAGAAAAAATAAAGCAGCTTTTAACGTACAACTTGGAATTGAGAAACATATTAAAATTGAACGAGCCCATCGAGTTGGGCTCGCTAAAGTAGAACGAGAGCGAACAATTGTTCTAAAGCTTCGTGATTATGAAGATAAAAAAATAATCTTAGAAAAAGCAATGAAATTAAAAGGGAGCAATATTTTTATAAATGAAGATTATAGTTTTACGACTCGTATAATACGAAAAGAACTTTTTGAGCAGGCCAAGCTTCATCGACAAAACGGTCATTGCGCTCAAGTCGAGTACAATAAACTTATTACTCATGAATTTAAAGAAAACATCCACAAAGTA